TCTGTACTTCACTTGTTAAACACAGTAAGCCTTCCCTAAAGCCCTGCTCTAAAAAGGGCTGAGCTTGTGCTTAAGTATAGACATCTACTTTGTTGTGTGAGATGTGTTCAAACATGTTAAACATGTACTGCTCAGATCTTCTGACCAATAATACAGGGAAAGGGAAGAGCTAAGAAGCTGGGACCTGCCTGGGCACTTCCTCGGTGGATCTGGTTCTGGGTGCAGTCTCCTTTACAACTGTTGATGTTTCAAGGGTCTGTTTACCTTCAGTTTAGCCTTGGTACTTAAAATAGGCACAGTAGATTTTATTTTCATAGTTTACTTACGTATTCCTTTTTTCTAGCCTTTATAGCAGAGGCAGTTCCAGCTCTGTATTTATACACCACCTAGCACAGCTGAGATCCTCAGTTAGGGCACCTGGGTACTGTTGTTTGTTAGACAGTAAGTGTGCACTGCAGTTTAAAATTCCTGAGCATCTCACTGAAACAGAACAGACTGAAATCCCTATTCTGTCATTTCAATAGAACAGCATCCTTATGCCAACCACCAGCACAGAAGTAGTATTTGGAGCTGCTAATCTCAGCATTTCTTAAATTAGCTGGTAAAGTGGCTTTGAAAGGAAGACATCAAAGTAATGCAGCTTACAAGTGGCTATTACAGAAATCCTTAAGGAACAGTTAATTTTGAAGGCACAGAAATGCAAGTGATGAAAAGCAGTGACAAAGTAAAAGCAGGTTGCTTCTTAATAAGCAAGAGAAGGGCAAAATTATCCTCCAATACTAAACATTTTCCATGTTTATACAAGTCTCCTCTGCTTCTCGGTCTCCTTTTCACCCAGTATCTGCAGAAGAAACTAAACCAGGGAGCTCCCAAGGAATAATTGTTTAATGTCATGCATTTGGATGACTACAAAAAGAGTCACAAAGAACCAAAGGGTAACAGAGACAAACTTCCTCTTCTCCCAGGCGGGGAAGGACAATTCTGAAACCCAGATTCCTGGAGAAGACCCTAGAAGGCATCTGCTATTTTCCCCATTTGCTCCCAAGTGTCATCAGCGTCAGCTGTTGCAAATGCACTTTGAGTGCTGTTGTCTCCTAGACCTTGGCCTTTCTATAATCCATTGTGGAATGGCCACTTCTAATGAACTGGCCACATTTTAGATGTGAGGAATGTTTTGTTGAGCAAGAGGTTCAGTGGAAAGACAGTTTTATCAATGATTACATGCTTGTGATGGCTGCAGCGTGTAGCATAACTGAAAAGGCTTCATAGTTTGGAAAATGCCCAGTAGAATTATACTTCAGAGTAATCAAACACTGTTGCAGAGAACGATTATCTGACCCTTTGGTTCCCCTCAACCAAAGTCCTTACTGTTTTGTGCAGTCTCTGCTTTCATGTAGCCACCGAAATAGGTCAGATGAGCTAACTGATACTAAGTTAAAAATTAGTATTAAAAAAAAAAAAAAAAAAAAAAAAGTCCTTTTCATCTGCACAAAGACAGAGGAGAGAAAACAAGAATGAGTGGCTAAAGGAAAGGCTGATTTTTCTTCAGACGCTGTGTGGATTTATGTTGGATACAAGTAGTCTTAGGCAGCTCAGTCATGACTGTAACAATTGTACCCTGTGCAGGTAACAGAATTTGTGCTTTGGAACTCCTTTTTAGCTGTCTATTTATTTTGTATGTCTTCATAAAAACAAGGCTCTTGGCAAATGCTAAGGCTGAAATTCCTGAATCACCAAGCATTTAACGAGTTAAAAGAAGAAATGTTCAACAGAAGTGAGAAGAGTCATGGCCCAAGAGCTCCCCAGATGCTAAAGAAGATTCCTGCTCTGAAACAAACACGGATCATCACCGTCAGTAACTTGCCCTGGGTTTTGTTACGTTGTCTCTCTCAGAATTTCTGAAATGCTTGCATCCTGTAGAATCTGGAGACATCTGCCTCCTAGGAGAATTTTGAAGACAGAACGATGTGTTCCAAAATGCATTTTGTGTTTTTTAAAGCTTGTGCTGGAACCAAACAAAACAGTGCTATAGTGAATGGGCAAGGAGGCAGTTTCTCAGATTCTCAGGGACAAAACCGATTCTGTTTCTAATTTATGATTTTATTTGGTTCATGAAATCATTTCTGATGTGGCATTAATTTAGAAGCGTGTGCTCTGTGAACACTGAGGCTTCATTGCACCTTTGTTTACTCAGTCAGTGCTGTAGCAGTTGCTGAAATATTTTGAAAAGCTGCATGTGACTTTGCAGAATACCAGCCAGCTGAGTGGGATAAGAACAGGAGCCTCAAACTACCCTCCGCTTCATATTGCAGAGCCAGTGCAGTAGGGTGAATACTTATTACTGCAATTCTATAAACAGCTGTACAGCCATGCCTGTTGTTAACGAGCCCTAACCCATATGTGCTTACACAAACGACCTTTCTGAATTTTACATTGTAAGCTGTGCCCTCTAGTGTGGTGACAAGGAATCTCAGCTTTAGCTTCAGAGTGTTTGAGAAAAGCCCTGTTGAAATCAGACCGGTGGCACATCTAGCCCGCTATTCTGGCTCTGACAGGGGCAGTGTGGGATGCTATTTAGGGAGCGCTTATGAGCCTGCCTGTGTTTCACTGTCTGATCTCCTGGTGTACCGTTGCTATTTCAAGCACAGTGGAGAGTACTGGGCTGAGTGGTGGTTCTTCCAGTTTTATAGTAGAACAAAATGGAAACATGAACAAGAAGAGAAGAAATAAAAATTAAGGAGCCCTGTTACACCCTTTGGCTGTACTACTGGGGCATCTGTTCCATGGACAACTGAAAAATTAAAGATTGACAGGCGAGCTTTCTAGAGCTTTTCAGGGAGCTCTTTCTGACCTTAACAGCAACAAGAGTAAACACTTGTGGTAGTTTCACAAAGCGTGTTGAGAGGGAAAAGAAGAACAGGCTATAAGCGAGCTTAGAGACAAGGAGCAGATTTCTGATAACGAATAGGAGTTTTCAGTGTTTCACATTGCTGGGTCTTATACTGCAGCTTCTTAGTGTCACAGAATTAAAAAGCAAACAGTCACTGTCAAGTGAATAGGAAGAGACATGCCTCTTATTATCACTGCACAGGAAAAGGAATAACATCTCTTAAATATCTTAATAAGAGCTCACAAAGCTTAGTGTATTGTATTTTTCAGTAGAAGCCAGATCAAAATCTCAAGTCAAGACTCAAGACACACTGGGAGTTAGCCTTTTTGCTGCCACAGGGGTCTTCTTGACAGTTGTTAAAATCTTTTTGCATTGGGTCCTTACCCAACAAAGCAGAAAAATGAGAAGGTTGAAGCGTCAGTATACTTTAGACGTGCATCACGCTCCTGGACGAAACCATAAACCCGACTGTGTTTCTGTCCCGCCTCTTCCTCCTATCAATTGCGAGTGTTGGCTTTGCACGCTTGACTCTTCTCTGTGCAGCATTTCGCACAGCCAGCAGGTGGCATGGGAGGAGAGAGAGTGTGACGGTGAAAGCTCTCTCCTGCCGTACAGAGACGGGTTCTTAGGTAGGTATTTTACGGCTTTATGGTATTTTACATAGCTTCTGTCCCAAAGACGTGTGGGGAGTAAAGTATTTCCAGTTTCTTTGAATCTCCCTTCTT